AAGCATCACGCTTGCCTGAGGCTCAAACACCTCCTTGTCCTATTTTGACGGGCGCTTGCCCCTTGCCTCTTGCCCCGCGCCCCCCCCCTCACAGCACTCTGCAGACGGCGCTCAAGACACCCGTGGCCATCACCGCGGTCGACGCCAGCAAGGCGCGCTCCGGCCTCTTCTTCTACGAGAACGGTGGGCCCGCGCCCGCAAGCACGGGGAGCCTGCTGTGCCATTGATCCGGCTGGGGTTGGGATCCAAGGTTGTCATCGTGGGCCGAGAATTTCGCAGCAACCCCTCAAAGTCCTCGCGTGTGTTTGCCGCGTTGCTCTGTACATCCCTTAAATTATGATGCGAGCGTGCTTCGTGGCTCCCCACAGTGCGCAACCCCCTGAAGGACCCCTCAAAGCCGTTGGAGACCAGCGGCTTCACATCTCCGCTGCGCCCTTCAACGATGGGCGACACGGTGGGTGGAACGCGGCTGCTGGGGCGCCATTGCTTGCTCGTGGATGGCTCAGGGTTCGTTCTGTCACCCAACAACTGTGCATGCAATATGCCGGCAACATCGTGAAACCGGGCGGTATGGATGAAGTTTGTATCACGGCGCTGGTCGCCCCAGGACCGGGGCCATGCTGGGCGCCTCGCGCCTGGACCCCGCAGGCGCTCGTGCGCATCCAGAGCCCCATGACCCGCAAAGAGGTGGAGGCCATGACTGTGGCCGACCTAAGTCTTGGGGAGCTCAACCTGGTGGATGTGGAGACGGCGCGGCGCGGGGTGGACGCCCATGGCAACAAGCTATGGGCGCCGTCGATGCAGCTGACCCTGCACGACTTCTACGTGTGAGCGGGGGCGCGCTGCGCTAAGAGGGTGTCGGGACATGCCTGCTGGGACCGTGCCGCCCGACATGCTTAACACGTGCAGCAATGTCTCCACAAAGCTCCATGCAATAACACGTGTATCCAGGTGGTCAGATACGGCAATGTTGGCATGTTTTGGCGTGTTTTCAGCAGAACAAGAAACCAAACCCTCAAGCAACCTGTGGAAGTGATGTTGGGGCCGCCTTTGCCAAACTGTCGCCGCCGCCTGCGACGGTCCGCAGGTGGCAGGTGGCGCGTGCAACCAGCGCAGCCCCCGGGTTCCTGCCACGTGAGTCGGAGGGGATTTGGGTTTGGGATTTACCATGGTGCACGACACTAGCCAGCTTGCCAGCTGGCTAGCTAGCTGCAGCGCCGCACGCCGTCCCCTGGTGCACCCTCACTCATATGAAATCTGCCATGATTCCTGGCGCACAAGATTGATCAACGCGTCACTTCACATCTCACTTGTTCCGCGCCAACCTCACACCTGCCATTCCTGTGAATTTCCTGCAGCCGCTGAGGTGTCGCCTTCTGACGGGCTCACAAAGGAGGACGGCTCCTGGCCACGCCCGCGCACGTGAGCCGGCAACCGGGCGCGATTGCTTGGGAGAGCCGAAAGGCGTCGTGCCGGCGACACCGCGAACCCATGGGATGGACACACGGGCGCGCGCACGCACACACACACACACACACACACACACACACACACACACACACACACACACACACACACGTGTGCGTGTGTGTGTTGACGATGCATTGCATTGCCCGCACATTTGTGTGTGTGTGTGTGTATGCATGTGTGCGTGTGTGCGTGTTTGTGTTACATGCACAACGTAACACAAGGCGTGTGCCCGTCTGCCCCTTGTCAGCACACATGCACACACACACACACACACACACACAAATGTGCGGGCAATGCAATGCATCGTCAACACACACACGCACACGTGTGTGTGTGTGTGTGTGTGTGTGTGTGTGTGTGTGTGCGTGTGTGCGTGTTTGTGTTACATGCACAACGTAACACAAGGCGTGTGCCCGTCTGCCCCTTGTCAAATTGTATTGCATCGGCTCTGTCCACTCCTATCCATGGCTCATGTCAGGTGAAACATCCCCTTGCATCTCCAGTTCACGCCGCTCATGGCCGCCGCCTCTCAACTTCCTTCCAACCCCCAGCTTTGTCGACGGCGGCCTGGCCAACAACGACCCGACCTGGATGGGCGTGGGGCTGATGCTGATGCTGTGGGGGGCGCGCCGCCAGGCGCAGAACGAGGCGTCCAGGAAGGGCGAGCTGCCGGGCGCCGCGCCCAGGCCCCTCACCTTTGTGGACACCGCGGTCTTCAGCGTCGGTGCGCTGCTCCTGGCTGCTGTACCCAGGGCTGAAAGTGATCTGGCGTATTGGGCATGTGCACCTGCACCCCTGTCATGCCGGCGGCACACACATTCCAGGCTGCCTGCTTGTGACGCCGCACTGCATGATTTCGTGCATGCTCGAAGCGCTGTTTGGAGTAGAGTTGGTTGTGTGTACCGCTGATTGGGGGGTTAAGATGTGCACCAGGTTGTTCAGAGCAACTATCAGCACGCTGGCGGCCGCCAAGCTCGCCCGCGGCCGCCCCGCGGCACCGGCAACCAAATTCCCTGGCAGGCACCGGCCAGTCTCAAACGTGGGGCGCGTTGCATGACGGCCCCTCCGGCGGCGACCCCATCACCGGGCTGCTGAGAGCCCTGGCGCTGCTTGGGGACCTGGTGTCTCTGACCATGGCGGTCAACGGAGAGGACAAGCAGAGCATACTCAGGCTGATCTACTGTGAGTCATTTTGAATGTCTGATGATGCGTTTACCCGCGATGGTGATCCTTGATAGTGGTCCCGCTGGCTACCTTTACAGGTAGACAGCTTGCCGTCACCCTTGCCCACCACCCATCCGCTACCACATCGACCATGTGATAATCTGCGTCATCCCATGTGCGCATGTCTCCTTTTGCGGTCCAGATGGCCTCCTGCGCCTGCCAGAGGGACAGTACATGCGCATCCAGCTGCCTTTCGGCGACACAGCCGCGCCCGCGCCCCCCACTGCGCCTGCCACGATCGCCGAGGCAACGGTACCCGCCGCCGCCGGCCCCGACGCGGGGCCGCCGGACGCCGTGCGCGGCGGCACGCGCGACGCGGGGGACGCGCCGGCCGCGAAGCTGGGCGGCGCAAAGGGGGAGGCGGAGGTGACGGGCGATAACGACGACTTCCTGCCCCCAGTGGAGGTGCGCAGCTCTTCCCATGAATTCTGTCACAAATCGTTGCAACCGGTGGTGGTGGTGGCTCGCGTTATGGTGTGGTGACACCTGACACGGACAAGTCACTGGTGTGCGCCATGCACCTGGCAACCTGCCACACAGCCCGCCCAGCGGCGCCGGCCGTGTTTCCTCCCTCGCGCCCGGCCGCCCGCCGCACCGTCACTCTGCTGGACCTCCTTCAATCGCTCGCCCTGCGCGCCTGCCCTCCTGCCTGTACCCACCGCCGTGTCTTGCTGCACCCCGGCAAACCTCGTCGCGTTGCGCTGCAAATCATTGCCCCTCGCCGCAACTTGCGTTGAACCCATTGCACTCTGCTGCATTGCATTGCGGCGTTCTGCGATGCGATGCAACCGGTCTACCACACACTTGCGTCGGCCCAGCTGACGCCCGAGGAGCTGGCTGCGCTCGACAAGATGGACAACCCCGACCCCAAGGTGCTGGCCAAGTATGAGGAGGTGCGGCCATTACACAAACAAGTGGGCGGCACGGCCAACAACAAACAGGCGGGGCCGCGGCAGGGAAGAGGGCCGACTGCGCTCTGCGTGGCCGTCCTGCGGCCCACTTGGCAAGGGGGTTGGGCGCGCAAGGTCCGGCCAAGGGGGGCAGCCACGTCCTGCAAGCCGCAGCCAAGGGGCTGCAGCGAAACACTTGTGCACGTACCAGACTGAAAATGCAGGCGCTCCGCCCTATTCCATGCGTGCTCCGCCAATCCGCGCCGCCCGCCCCCGCCTCTCCATCTTCCAGTCCAGAAAGACCTCAGCCCCCGCTCAACCCCACCACACGCACCCTGCCCCGACCTGCGCTGCGCCCCCCCTCCCAACAACAGGTTGGCCAGAAGCTGGTGGCGCGCAACAAGAAGCGCATCGACTGGTGGGTGCGCTGCTTCCTGCTGGGCCTGGACGACCCCTTCGACGCCACGGCCCGCGTCCCGTGAGCTGCGGCCGGCGCCGTCATAACAAGAAAGTGGACCCGCACGCAGCATCGTTCGCGGGGACTCGAACACCACAACCTACCGGCAGGCAGGCGCCTATGCATCGCGGTTGAACAGGACGGATGGCTGCGCCGGCGCCTGGCAGAGCACAGGACGGGCGCGGTTCGATGTGAGCTGGTATCGTGCTCGGGGTTGGGCGCGTGGGCAAGCAGTAATTGACAGGCCTCCAGCCATATGAGACACACAGCGGGCATGCAGGTATATGAGGGGGGAGCAAGCAAGGACGGTCGCCGCTTGGCAGAGGGACTTTTGGGGCGCAATCGCATGCGATGAACGACCTGCTGTTGTCCACATGCACCGTATTTCTTTGCGCGGCACGTAGAACAAAGGGCGCCACCATTGGCTATCACGCGCCGGCCCTCTCGCCAATTTGCTGTAATGTGACGAACAGTGCGGTTGCGCCTGCTCAAGCTACCCACTGAATTGCAGTTGCAGGCAGGCGCAGCAGGAAATTTGAAAAGGTGCAGCTGCTGCTAGCCATTCAAACTACGCGAGCAGCCAGCGGTATGCAAATCAGCTCAAGGCAAGCCGTCACCAGGGCTGTTGCTGCAGCTTCCATGCGCCCATGCGCTGGCCTGGTGGCTCCTGGAAAGCCAGCACGCAGGGGTGCGGGTCAGATGCAAGGCTCTGACATACCTCTGTCTCCTGGAGCATGAAACGAGTGCACTTTAGTCGCCGAACACACAAGCATGCAGGTCGTGGAGGCCGCGGCCGCCTCAACTTCCACAAGGGTTATACATTCCCATGCAGCAAGCGCGCTCGGTGGCTGCATCAAGCACAGGCAGGCGACCCCCCCCTGTCGCAGCATAAATGCAAGGACCGCGGCTACGCACTGTAGCTAGCCCACTACCTGAGCCGCAACACCACCGGCCTCAATGCGCCACCACAAGGTGCAAAAGCGGTGGCTGCGTTCTTGCTGCCGCGAGTGCCAGGCTGCACCAAAGGTGGGATGAACGGGTAGCCTGTGATGCGAACGCGTCATGGCAGTGTCGAGTCCAGGCCGCAGTCTGCAGCCGCAGCAGCAGCAGGCTGCAGCCACAGCCGCACACAGCAGCAGCAGCAGCAGCAGCAGCAGCAGCAGCCTGCAGCAGCAGCAGCAGTCCACTCTGCGTGCAATCAGGGCACAGCCAACCAGCTTGTGAAAGTGGCAGCGTCCGATTTTGGTAGCAAACGTGATTGTATTGCTGCTGCACCTTCGCCCCTGCGATTCAGCAGGCGTCAGAAAAACAGTGTACGCAAAGGGTTGTGGCCCGCATTGTGGCGCTGCGCTGACAAAAGTTGTTGGGACCCGTGGGTGGGTCCCTGTGGCCGGCCGACCCTGAGCAGGCGGCCGCATCGCGGGACGGTGCGCCCAGCTGGCGCGTATGTCAGCCGCTGCTGCCCTGCCTTAGCGCGGTCCTGCCGTGGCAGCTCACTTAGACTGAATGAGCTGTTGAGGGCATCCCATCGCATCATTTTGACCACGCCGGTCTGCACATGCTGGGTGTCACGGCTTGGTCGCATGATGGGTTCGGCCCCAACGTCTCGGCCCTCCACCTCGGTCTCCTTCCTGGCCACGCATCAACCCGACTCTGAACGGAGGTTCTAATCCCATGCGGATTTTTGTCACGGCAATTAATAGCATATGCGGCGAAGCGGGTTGCGTCGTTGCTGATTGCGTCACACAGCGCCCCATTTGTCAAGTGACCCACTCACCGGCCTGGCCAATTCCAGGCGGCGCTACGCCAGGGTTACTCGGAACTTCACCCACAAGCGATGCCTCAGAGATTCAATAATCGTTCTGATTGACTTGGGAGGACCTTGAGGCGCGGCTTACCCAAATCCCTCGCGCTGTCCAAAGCGGGGCGTCTCGGACCGCCTGGCCTAGAGGAGTGGAGAGAAACCAACAAGGCGAGCGCTGCATGGTCGTTATGTTGAGCCCGCGGCCATCACCCTGATGGCGCCATCCGCGGAGTCACTTGGGCTGGCGACCGCGTGCGCTCAGACGAGTGTGTGCATCAAGCGCCAGCTGACGCCCTGCCGCCTTGCCAGCCCAAACCCATGCAAATGCTCTGCAAATCCTCAGCGGCGCCAACCACCCCTGCTGCGGTGCGCAACGCAGGACCCAAATCGCCACGCCTTCCTGCAACATGAGCGCCAACGATGGTGGGGAACGGCCGGCCTGCGGGACGACGGCCAGGGGGATGGGGTCCGGCGTGCTGCGACGGCAACGCAGCCCACTGCACGCTTGCGAGACCCTGCAGGCTGGAGTTCTCTCCCTGAAGGCACTGGTGCCCCTCGCGCTCGCCGACTGCCCAACACCTGATCAAGCTACCCAGCCAAACCACCCAACCGCGCCCATTCACACGCCCACCCACCACCTTCGCGCCTTGTTGACCCCAGCGGCGATTATCAAGCCGGCTGACCTAGCATCTAGCAACACGTACAAGACGCTGCTGAGCCTGGACGGCGGCGGCCTCCGCGGCCTCGTGTCATGTGAGAGCCGGCGCTGCGCCGCTGCCTCTCAGGGGCTCCCGAGCGCCCGACAGGCAGGCGCCCGGGCAGCCGACCTGCCACTGCAGCCTCCCTCCCTGACCGGTCCCATGCGCGAGTGCGGCGTGTCTTCAGGACCGGCGCCAATCCGCGAATTCGTTCCGTGGCTGTGCCCTCACCTTCTTGCCACGACCGCCACTGGTGCCGTTTGTCGGCCTGGACTGTGGTCGGTCTTTCTGCGGCGTCGCGCACGCATGCGTGCAAAGTCATGCATTCACCACCGCTGCCGGCCCCGCCCGCCACACGGCCCCTTCCCTTCTCTGACCTGAGTGCCTCCCGCCGTGCCTCCTGACCTGACTGTCGTCCTCCCAAATCAGTAGGCTGTCGCAGGCGAGATGCTGCAGGCCCTGTTGATCATGTATTCTCTGCAGACTCCATCACACGTCCACTTTCGCCCCTCCCCATATGCCTCTCCTCTCATTCACCCTTATACTAAACACAATTGCAGGCCAGGTGCTGCAGGCACTGGAGGATTCCATCCGCAAGCTCATCTGGCAGGAGCGCCGCAGGCTCTTCCCCACCGCCACCAGGTGCCAGGCGACCATGCCGGTGCCACCCGCGGCAAGGCGCCCGGCCCCGCCGCCGCGCCGCCACGCACCCCAGCGCCTTGCCGCAGCCGTCCCCGCCGGGCTGCTCCCTCCCCTGAAAACTTCAAACCTGACCCAAAACCCCGGGACCTGAAATTCCACCCCCACCGCAGCGCGGCGCCGGGCGCCGTCCACCTGGACGATGCCGCCGACCTCGTCACCGGCGGCGGTGCCGTCGTCAAGAGCGAGGATGACATCGCCGTCGACCTGGGTGACTGGTTCCACCTGGTGGCGGGCACCTCCACCGGCGGCCTGCTGGCGCTGTACTGTGAGCCTGCCCGGGCAGGGGCTGCGGCGGCCTGGGCAGGGTACACGAGGGGGACAGGCAGGGCAGCTAACAAGCTTTCCTGACCCCTGAGCAGGAATTGGCGGATCACGGCCTGAGCGCGGGGCTGGCCGATCGCCGCTTGTGACTGCAGCCTCGTGGGTGGTCGTGACCGGATCCTAACGCGCTTCGGCGAGCTCGCTGCTGCGGCCCGCGGATGCTGTATTATTCCCTGCGCCCGCCAGCGATCAGAGGAACTGCATTCCAGCAGCGCTATTAACGGCAAAGCGCAGGCGCTTGGGCGCCCAGCCGCGCTATCGTCGCTTGCTGCTCAGCCAAGCTTGGGACTGAGAGGTTGGCAATGCCCGCCACCACGGCGCCTTGTTTGCTGGGCGGGGGCCCGCATCCTCCCCGCCCCTTCACATTTCAGCATGTTTGATTTGATCAGACGCTGCAATCCACGTTCCATCTGCAGTTTCAGCCCGCGGCGGGCGAAAGGACTACTCCGGTGTGAGGCGCGGCAGCGCAGCCGCCGCCGCAAAGATCTACACAGTGGAGGGTGCGTGAGGGCGGGGCATCCGGATCAAATGCGCTTGTCTGAGGGATTGAGCCCAACAACTTGCACACACTGGGCTTCGCGGGGGCGGCAGGGGCCAAACAACGGCGGCAGCCTGGACGACCAGGCTGGCCCACTGTTGGGTAAGGAGGGAAAGCACGCCGACTGGGACCCTGGAGTAGGGGCAGGCCAGCTGGCCGACATGTGTACCTTGTAAATTGGGTCCCTGGCATGGGCCCTGCCGGCGGGCTGACACATTTGTCTTTCCTCCACCTCCTCTGTTTCTTGGCCAGGTCAACGCATCTTTGGGACACCCGGATGGAAGAAGGCCTGGAATGCTATCAGCACAGGTTTGAGTGTGGGTGGTCTGATGCCACCAGCTAAGCGGAGGGGAAAGTTCGGCCAGGAAGGGTAGCAGCGGGTGTTTGCAACAATCCAGATCAGGTCACAGTCACAGGGGCCTGTCGGCCTCATGCCGCATTGTTAATATCGAGCGAGCTCCGGGGCGTGCTGCTGCTAAAGCACTCAAGCAGGCCGTGCAGGAGTCGGATGATGGTCGAATTCACTCGGCGGTTCCGACAGCGCCGTCGACGCCTAAATTGACCCGTGCCATCCCCTATGTATGCCGGCTCCGAATCCGTGTCTCTTCCCGTGTTTACACCCTTGCACTACAAATTGTTTGCCCAGGCGCCAAGTATCAGCACGGCTCTGCGGGCCTGGAGGGTGTGCTCAAGGAAATCTTTGCGAGCGACAGCCAGAGGTGGGCGGGACCCAAACCTGGACAACGCAGGGCTTCTCTGCGCGGCCGAGGGGCTTGAAGTGGAGGGGGGTCTGTTTGGCTGCGTTGGTGGCAAGGGCAGCACCGTCGTTGCTGCCTCGCTGCGCTCAACCCTGCACACCAGAGATTCATTCGGCGTCGGGTCGCGCCTGATGCTCACCAACCACGCGGGTCATCGCCTTGCAATTCCCTGCAGGCTTCCTGCTTCCTGCACCCCAGCTCCAGCGGCCCACCCCTCAACCTCCCCATCCCCCTCCCCCCCCGGCGCCGGGCGCCCCTCGTTCCACCTCCCCTTCCAGCACTATGCAGACGGCGCTCAAGACGCCCGTGGCCATCACCGCGGTCGACGCCAGCAAGGCGCGCTCCGGCCTCTTCTACTACGAGAACGGTGCGCTTCCGCCGACAAGGACCGCTAGCTGGTTGCGCTTTTGGCCGGCTAGGGTCAGGGATTAAGGGGGCCCATGGTGGGCCCGCGTCCGCAAGCACAGGGCGGGGCGCCACTAGCTCATGATGTGTGTCTTTTGTTTGCCGGCTGTGGGTGGACCCTTGAAGGGATGGAGGGAGGTCATCCATGGGCCATGGTGCATGCAGCTGGAGCGGTTCAAGGTTTGCGTGGGGGCGGAGTATGCGTGCAGAAAGAGCCCCCATTGCTGATCACAAAATGTGTCGCGTACTCTGTCCATCGCCCGCTGCCGCGCAGTGCGCAACCCCTTGAAGGACCCCTCAAAGCCGTTCGAAACCAGCGGCTTCACTTCTCCGCTGCGCCGCTCCACCATCCGTGGCAAGGTACGTGCGGCGTGCGGCTGCGGGGCTGCTGCATATGCTTGGTGCGGGCCATGGGAGAGGGCAAGCCCCAACTCCTCATGATGGGGCGTATGCTGCAGCTAGCTGGTGGGAGCCGCCCGCATTGCTCAAGCCCTCAAAGCGGCACGGGGCGGTCGGATGCCGGCAGCCGAACGCACGTGTTCTGACGATGGTTGTTTGACCAGCCTTTGACCATGTCTGCCACGGCCTGCGTGACTTGACGCCTGGCCTGCGCACCACGGATCGAGCCCAGCGTCCGCCACGTCTTTGCGTACCACTTCCCTCCCCCTCCATGCCGCGGCTCCCCCGCCGCGCCACGTGCAGGCGCTCGCGCGGGTGCAGAGCCGCGCGCTGACGCGCCGCGAGGCGGAGACCGTCATCGCCGCCAGCCTGGGTCTGGGGGGGCTCGACCTGGTGGATGTGGCGGCGGCGCGCCGCGGGGTGGACGGCCAGGGCCACAAGCTGTGGCTGCCGTCGGTGCAGCTGAGCCAGCACGACTTCTACGTGTGAGCGGGGCGGAACGCGGTTGTGGTCGTCCTCTGCTGCATGCCTGGCTGCCGTTGCACGGACCGGTCGCCCAGCCCGTGGTGCGGTCTCTGCATGCAGCGGGTATCGGCCGCCTCGAGCGATTGTCGAGTGTGATCCCCTTGTGCCTGCCGCGCCCGACGCATGCGGTGCTTCTTGCTGATTGCCTTGCAGGTGGCAGGTGGCGCGCGCCACCAGCGCGGCCCCCGGCTTCCTGCCTCGTGAGTCTGAAGGGCGGTTTGGGGTTTGGGGTTCGACGATGTGCGCAGCGCCCTTGCACAGTGGCTAGTCAGCTTGGCAGCTTGCTGGGTGAGGGGCTGTCACGCATGACTTCAGCCGTCCTGGCTAGTGGGGCGATCGCTGTTATGCTCAATCCATTGCCATCCAATGCCATGATGCGTGCGTTGTGAGTGTGCGCGCTCTGGAACCCGAGGGTGAACCACACGCTTGCGAGACGCCGACCTCGACCTCGACCTTCACTTCACCTTCCTGTGTGCCGCAGCTGTGGAGGTGTCGCCCTCCGACGGGACCGGCGAGGCGGGGGGCTCCTGGCCGCGCATGTGAGCCTGTCTGCAGCAGTCGCTATGCCGCGCCTGGGCGACATGGGTGGGAAAGGGAGGCCGTTTCGAGCTGCGTTGGGCCGTTCGCCTCAACACTTGCTTCCTGCATTGTTCCTCCAGACGGATGTGCATGGCGGCGTGCACAGGAACGAGCTGGGCCCCATAAACACGTACGTGCCACTGACCCCCATCTCTGACACCGCCCCATGCCTGCATTCCGTCCGCCCACCCTCACCCTGGTGTCTGCTTCTGACAAACAAACCTGTTGCCTGCATTCAACGACGGAACCGATGCAATCCAACCCCCAGCTTTGTCGACGGCGGCCTGGCCAACAACGACCCGGCCTGGATGGGCGTGGGGCTCATGCTGATGCTGTGGGGGGCGCGCCGCCAGGCGCAGAACGAGGCGCACAACAACGGGCGGCTGCCGGGTGCCATGCCCAAGTCCCTGACCTTCCTCAACACCGCCGTCTTCAGCGTTGGTGCGCCGCTCCTGGCCGCTGCATGCTAGCGGCTCGATTAACTGACGCTTGCGAGCGTCCAGAGGGGCCGCCCCTGTGCCAACAGCAAACATGCGCGTACGCAGCAACGCCGCATGCAACACAAGAAGCACACGGGCCCGGGCTGCCGCTGCATCACACACAGCTGCTGATAACGTTCTTGTGCCTGCCAAGCCGAGCGTCAGCGAGTGGAGGCCCCTCAGCTCATGCGGACCAGGCCACCTGCAGAGTGGCGGGATACCAGCGGCCTGACCCGTCTGACCCCCTCCCCCGGTGCCGGCGGCCAAACCCCGCGGCAGGCACCGGCCAGTCGCAGGCGTGCGGGGCGTGGCAGGACAGCCCCGGCGGCGGCAACCCGATCACGGGGCTGAAGGCGGCCCTGGGGTTGCTGGCCAACCTGGTGTCTCTGACCATGGCGGTCAATGGGGAGGACAAGCAGAGCATTCTCAAGCTGATCTACTGTGAGCCATTTGGAATTACTGACCACGTGTCAATGCGTGATGCAAATTCTTGGTTGTTGCTCAACTGCCTGTGCACATGCTGCCATTGCCTGTGCATACAGCTGCCATCACCTACTTATTCACTCTCAGCATCCACCACATGATAATTTATTTCATCCCCCGCACGTTTATGTCCGCGTTGCGTCCCAGATGGCCTGCTGCGCCTGCCAGAGGGGCAGTACATGCGGATCCAGCTGCCTTTTGGCGACACCGCCGCGCCCGCGCCCCCCATTGCGCCCGCCGCGATCGCCGAGGCGCCGGCGCCCGCCGCCGCCGGCCCCGATGCGGGGCCGCCGGACGCCGTGCGCGGCGGCGGCACCCGCGACGCGGGAGACGCGCCGGCCGCGAAGCTGGGCGCGGCAAAAGGGGAGGCGGAGGTGACGGGCGACGACGACGACTTCCTGCCACCAGTGGAGGTGCGCCACTTCCACTGTGCTTGACCTATGCGCGAAAACTCTGGTGACAGGTGATGGTGCTGTTCTCATGTTTTTTGGTGTTGTGACACCTGACACTGACTTGTCACTGGTGCGCGCCAACAACCGGGTGACCTGCTGGTGCGCCCAGCGCCACCAGCCCACCTCCCTCGGGCCCCGGCCCACACTGCACCCCCACTTTGCTGCACCTCCTTAACTTGCTTGCCCCTCGTGCCCTGCCCTCCTGCCTCCATACCCTGACGCACCTTGTTGCGCTCTGCCAAACCCATCACTGCTGCAAACCATCACCCCTCCTCGCAACCAATCGCGCTCCGCTGCGTCCCACTGCAACGTCCTCCCGTGCGGCCGGCCTTCCACACACTTGTGCCCCCCCCCCAGCTGACCCCCGAGGAGCTGGCTGCGCTGGACAAGATGGACGACCCCGACCCCAGGGTGCTGGCCAAGTACGAGGAGGTGCGGCCAGCAGTAAACGAACAGGCGGGGCAGTGGGCAAGAGGGCCAAACCAGCGGCCGACGCAGCAAGGAGGGGGGGGCGTGCCAGGTCCTGTCGAGGGGGGCAGCCACGTCCTGCAAGCCACAGCCAAGGGGCTGCAGCCGTAGATTGTGTACATACAGGCAAAGAAAGCGGGCGCTCCGCCCTATCCCATGCGTGTCCCGACTACCTGTGCCGCCCGCCCCTGCCTCTCCATCTTCCAGTCCCAGACCTCAGCCCCCTCTAAACCCCGCCCCACGCACCCTGCCCCGACCTGCGCTGCGCCCCCCCGCCTCCCAACAACAGGTCGGCCAGAAGCTGGTGGCGCGCTACGAGAAGCGCATCGACTGGTGGGTGCGCTGCTTCCTGCTGGGCCTTGAGGACCCCTTCGACGCCACGGCCCGCGTCGCGTGAGCCACGGACGACGCCGATCAAGTACAGGGAGCCGGCGCGCAGCACAAGCAGTCCCAGGAATCAATCAAACGGGGCAGGCGGCGGGCGGCTGGCAGCGGTGATGAGCAGCGAGCCGTGAGCGCACTTGCCCAATTGAGGGGCTGTTGGGCGCCATGCGCTCGGCAGCTACAGGTTCTTGGCCCTCAGTACATGTGCGTGGTGGACTAGAGTCAATCGAGCAGGCAATACGGCATGGCTGCAGGGGAGAAGAGGAGCTTCTCAGGGGTGCCGGGTGCACGGTCCTGCTGGTGTGTGTATACAACAATGGCATGTGTCGGTCGAGCTGGCTCTTTGCGGGGTCTGTCTGTCTATCTCGCTTTCTTGAGGTTTCCTTTATTTGTCCGTCTCGTGGGGTGCATGGGTAACTCAAGTGCTGCAGTCCAGGGGCACATCAGATTTTGTTGGGATGCGTGTGCGAGCGTGCGAGAAAGCCCCAGCCTTGCTTGCCCTAGACGATATTTGGGCAAAATGGACCTGCCGCATGGTGGCCGAAGGCAATGGACATGGCAATAAAGGACAGCAGTGCGCGTGTGGAGCCTGGCACGTGTCGCAAGGCCGCAAGCCCCTGCTGCGGCAGCGACCCCTGCTGTGGCGGCTGCTGCTGCTGAAGCGCTTTATGTCTGCGAATGCCACGGGTCCAGGTAGCACCCGCCCTATTGTTTGTGAAATGCCATACCAAGGCACACAAGTGGACTGTGCGCTCCGCTGCAATCAGGATCACGTGCTTGTGTTTCAAGCATGCCAGTTGCTGGACTGCCCAGCAGACAGCAGCACCATCTTCACACGCAGAGGTGTTTCATCGATTCCCGCTGTAGCTGGCTGCGGCTTGTCTTGTCTACAGATTCACGCTTTGATATGGCATTCTACACCATTCCAGAGGCATGCGGCGCCCAGTGCATGCGTGCTGCGACCGAGGGCGGCGAGCGGCTCGTGTGGTGCCTTTGCGGCTGCCTTTTGCCGTGTCAGATGCCTTGGCGGGCGCTGCCGTCGCCGCTGCTACGGCTGCTGCGTGGTTGTTCGGTCACCGATGATCGTGGGTCTGGGCATGACGCCGGGGAAGTAGCACTGCACCATGCTGCTGCCAGGCAAACGTGACATTGCGTGGTTTGCTGCACTGGCAACTTCCCAGTGATTCGAGAGGCTTCATCAGTTGTTGATGGTGGACCGGCATGTCAAGTCCTACTGCACGTCAAGTTATCGCAATGTTGCCTTGCAGTCAGACCAGGCCTCGCAGATGTGCAGGTGCATGGCGGCGCACTACCGAACGCGCGTCGCGTGCTGCTGAACATTGCGTTCAAACACGCACGTGGTGCCGCAGATGCCCTAAGGCACGTCAGGAAGCAAATGCTGCAGCGCTCTGTCGTTGCGAGATTGCTATCGGCTCGCATTATAAGGAACAAGTTCCAGACATTATGCCACCGAGCGCCCGCGCGAGTGGACCCAGCACTGCATTATCTGATCTCAGCGACTGGGAGTTTATCGGCCTGGATTTCGCGTATGCAATTGGTCTGAACACTAAGGTACGTATGCCGTGACCAAGAATTTCTCTTCTCACCCGGTGTCAGCTACTCACTACCGTAGTTACGCCTTCACTTCGCTCATTCAACATGCTGTACCAGCGGTTTCCCCGTTTGTTCTAGGCTCCGCACTGCTAGCCCGAGGCGATCAGGCTTTGCAGGTGCGGTTTGCGTCGAAAGTCGGTGCCGCCGCCAACCAAGCCTTGGCAAAGCGCTGCGCGACCGCATGTGCGCAACCGCATCAGCTGCATACATGCGCGCACATTGAACGCAGAAAGCAGGATATACACACGAGCGCGACAAGCGATATCCCTGGAGAAACGCGCCACAGCGGCATCGCCCAGGGCAGCAGGCCCAGATCTTCGACACCACCGCCCAGATCAGCCGCAGCTGCAGCAGCGCCCCCGCTGCATCCGGGGGAGATGTCGCCCCACCAGCCTCGCGTCGTGTCCCTGCTGCCTTCAGCAACAGAGATCGTCTGCGCCGCCGGCGGCGAGGCGCTGCTTGTCGGCCGCAGCCACGAGTGCGACTGGCCGCCGGGCGTCCGTGACCGGCCGGTGCTGACAGCCGCGCGCACCAAATTCGTGGACAGCCAGCAGATGCACGATGCGGTGGGTTTGTTGTAACAACACTGGGACGCATTTCCGCATGGGTTGTCGCGAGCCGCGCGCTGCCAAATCAAGAAAGGTTGCGCGCCGTGCGATGGCGCCTCTGGCCGCCGGGCGTGAGTGAGGCCAGCCTCGTGTGTTCTGACAGTGCAGCGACGGGGCCAGGCGTGCTGCGACGACGTCGGCTGCTCCTTGAAAGCAACCTCGGCTACTTTTTCAAACATCATTAGCGGCTGTATCGTCCGCCGCGGCGTATTTATGACGCGCCCCGCCCTGCCCTCAAACACACGCTCGCTCTGCCCTTTTGCCGCTGACAGGTGGTGGAGACCCTCAAGAAAGGTGGGCGGCGCTCAACACCTTGGACGGGGGCCAATACGCTAAGCCTCGGGCTCTCCGAGCTCTCGCCCATGCGTCAATCATGCATGCATGCACTTGTTTGAGACTCGATCATGCATGCATGCATTCGTTTGGGACTCATGCATGCATGCAAGCATGCATGCACACCACCACGCATGCATCGCGCGCTCCCGCCTCCGCCCCCCAGACGGCGACGCAGGCATGGGGCTGTACACCGTCGATGCTGCCCTGATGGAGGAGCTGGCCCCTCACATTATAGTGACTCAGTCGCTGTGCGAGGTGGGGCGACGCTTGCAGGGGTAGCAGAGGGAGGGGGGGGGGGGGGGGGGCCGTGCACAGCGATGATGCAGCTCCCTTGCAGAGAAGAGCTGATGCATGCACAAACACATGCGCGCACACACGCATACACACGCATACACACACACACACACACACACACAGATACAAACACACCTGCATGCATACACACATCTTGAAACGCACAAGCACGCACACAAACCTGCATTTGCACCTGCACCTGCACACAAACACATACATAATGGTAATGCTTGAACTTGAGACTAGCAAAAGCTGAACCCCTTTCATGCTCACACCTTATGCAGGTATGCTCTGTGGACATGCGGCTGGTGGAGAAGTTGTGCGGGCAGCTGCGGCCACGCCCCAACATCATCAGCCTCAACCCCTTCTCCCTGGATGAGGTTCTGCAGGTGTGCGCCAAACGCACGAGTGTATGTGCACGTGCACGTGCATGCACACATGTTCTGGTGTGTGCGTGCTTGCATGCATGCATGCTCGCAGGCGCGCGTTTATGTGTGTACATGCATTCATCCAAGGACCTTTTCTCACCCAGCGGGTCTGGAGTAGTAGCTGCGTACTGCTTGTAAACCCAGCTGTATGGCGCGATGCAAAGTGCCAATGCACCTTCCTTTGCCTCCTCACCCCGCAGGACTGCCTGACCATCGGCGCAGCGATGGGCAAGGAGGAGGAGGCGGAGCGCGTTGTGGAGAGCCTTCGGGGCCGCGTGGACGCGGTGCTGGCGTTTGTGGCCTCTCAACCGCCGCTGGCGCGGCCCACAGTCGGCTGGATGGAGTGGACGGAGCCCATATTCGTGAGTTGAACAGGCGGTGGCGGTTTTAGGGATGTAGAGGGCGATCGGCGCAAGAGATTGAGTGAACAAATGTCTCAACCTGATGAATGTCTGTATTGCATTGAGTGCAATGCATCAGGCTTGCTGCGAGCCGTCTGACACAGGTGGCGCGGCTGATGGGGTGGCTGGTGGGCAGATTGGCATGCCATCCCCGTCCAGCTCTGCCCTGCCCTGTCCGGGCCCCGACCCCCACGCAGTGCGCAGGCCACTGGACGCCGCAGCTGATCGGGATGGCTGGGGGGCAGCACCCCCTGAACCCGCCAAAGTAAGAAGTCCTTTCAGTTTCAGGGGTTTCCAGTTGTGCGGAACGCGGAATCTCACCGGGTGCTCTATTGGGCTTTGCAAACGGAGTCTCTGCAAGCAAGGACAACGTCCGCAATGCTCCACTGCGGCAAAACCTCGCAAGGCGGTTGCTTGTTGCGTGACAGCTGCAAACCGCCGCCGCCGCGCTCTTAGTCTTTGCAGGGACGGCGCTGGTGCGGCGGCGTCTCGCGCCATCCACAATGATGAGGTATTTGCGTGCTAGCACACAAGATGGGTGGCTGAACGGGGCCAGCGGCTCGTCCCCTCCCCTGCGAGCAACTGACCATCTTCATGCATCTTGGAGCAGTGGGGTCCGCACCAGCGCCTGAGCCCCCCGCCACCGCCACGCCATCGCGACTTGGTACTTGCTGAGCACGCAGCTCTCCTGCAAAGCCAGGGGGACCGTCCTGGCCAGCTACCACTTGTCTGTCAGCGCTTTTCGAGCCAACCCTTTGCGTGCATGCAGCCGTGTGCCCATGCACCACAACCCACCGCCCACCTCCCCACCAGTTTGTGGCGTCGGACCCGGACTGGGTGGTGGTGGCGCCCTGCGGCTTCGACATGGACCAGACCAAGAGGGAGCTCGCACGCATCACGGGGCAGGTGGGCGGTCGCGATCTGAAACCAGATCCCAGTGTCGGCAGATATGCAGACATGCAAACTTGAAATTACTTCTAAGCTCTTGCTTTTCACGTTTGACATCACCAAAACAAGGCAGCGTTTGGCTTGCACTTAAAGTGTGTTTTCTGGCCAGCTCAGAACCTGCTGCTCAACTACAAACGCCCCTGTCAACTCTTGCTGCGGGGCCTATTCGCTGACCGGGCGCGCCCGACCCAACCCCGCTGCCAGGACTGGTGGCGGGGCCTGAGAGCAGTGAGGGAGGGCCGTGTTGCCCTAGTAGACGGCAACCAGGTGGGGTGCCACTGGGGGTCCGGGGTGCAGGTCCCACTGGCGGGACCATTGTGACACGGCCCCGGTAGCTAGATAGGTTACATGAGTCGTGGTGCTATCCCATTGTCTAGCTTGTGCCGGCAGCCCGCCCCTGAAACCAGCCCTGATGCTCGCGTGCTGAAGCAAGATTAGTGCTAGAGCAGCGGCAGGGCAGCGAGGGCGGCTCCCGGGCCCCCGGCCAGACCATTCTCAACGCCCCTGTCCCCGCCACAGCTGCCTCTGTCCATGTAGCGACGGCCCCGCCGCCCCGCCCCGCCGCCAGATGTTCAACCGCCCGGGGCCGAGGCTGGTGGAAGGGCTTGAGTTCCTGGCGGGGCTGCTGCACGGCCGCCACGACCTCATCCCGCAAGGTGGGGCGCCGCGGGGACGACGGCCCTGCGCGCTCCCGATGGCTGGCGCGGCCCGCGGCGGCCTGCGCTCGCATTGCAGCGCTGAGGCCTCAGTCAACTCGGCCCCCGCAGGTGTCTCCAGACCCGCAATGCCGTCCGTGTCTAAGCATTCACATGTGCTTGTACAAGAAATGCTTTCGCTTCCCCTCCTGCCTACATTCTGCAAACCGGTGCCCGTCCGCTGGTGGCCTCTGCCCACAGGTTTCCCCTGGGAGTGGTGGCGGCCGGCGGAGGACGAGGGGGCGCCTGCAACCGCGGTGGTGAACGGCGGCTCGGCCGTGGCTGGTGGCGTCGACGGCGCCGGGGCTTAGGGTGGGTTCGGCACGCCAACGTCAGCAACAGGCACCAACCGGTCTGCGCATCTTCCCCCATCCATTAATACTCTTTGGATTGCATAGGACACAATTTGTTGGTGCTGTTGTTCTTGTTGCTGCTGTACCTTTCGACTCTTTCAGGGCTGTGGCCGAAAGAGCTGCCACTTTTTGCAGCCAAACAACCTCTTGCGCGCTGCCTCAACATTGCGGACATGTGCGTTGACTGTTGTGTTACAGTACATGCATCAGTGTACTGCTGCGCAGGCCGCTTCGCGCTGTGAGTCCCGAGGACAAGTCACTGTATGAGGTGCAAGAGATCTGATACGGGTGACGTAAGGGTTCCCCATTTATTCATGTGACGCAGTCATGCCATACCTGAAGGCGTGCGAGACTCTCGTAGGGTGCAGGAAGATCGCGGTGAACGAGCTGCGGCGAATCGCGCGTCGGTGCAGTGGCCGTGGGCAAGTGCGAAAGCGCTGGTCTGGGGCGGGCCGCCTCGCCGCCCTGCCGGCGGTGCGGCGGACGGGCGCCCCGGGTAAGCCATTAGAAGTATGTGAGAACGAAAAGCTGCGAAAAGCTACAACTGGGCACGGCCATTCCAGGCCAGCATGTCGGTTGTATGACGATGCTCCACAGCATGCGCCGCACCGCCTAGGTCATGCAACCTGCCAGAAATTCCGTGATACTATACTGTACGGTATTCTGGGCGACACACACATTCAGGAATGTTCACACATACAATGTGCACGGCACAAGAGAACAAGCACAACACAGGACGAAGTGACACCCAGTTGCATGCCATGCGCGTATCAACCCAGGGCAGCTTTGTCAGGTAGAGCAGGCCCCTTACGCCCAAATGCTTTGGTGATGGGTGTCAAGCAGGCTGCCATACAAAACACAACAAACAGCGGCAAGGCCAGCCGCATCCCGCCCGACAAACGGTATGTACATGCCACATTAGTTGTGGCCGGTGTACGCAGTCGTGCGTGCGTGACAGGTGCTGCAGGCGCACCCCTGCGCCGCTCACCACCCAGGTGGGCCCCTGCAGGTGACACCCTGAAAGCGATGGGTGACGCCCTGGGGTTACTGCCAGGTCACCGTCTCACAGAACTCTGAGCTGACGTACTTGCAATACCACGGCACGAGTCCAAACTCCCGGGTGAGCATGCGTATCTTGGTCCACTGAACTTCACGCCAGGTGGTAAGGGGACCTACGATGCCCTTGGTGTCACCGGAGTTTGCCTGGGGAGTGATTGGCGGGTTTGTGCATGCCGAGGGGATGGAGGAGGCGGGGGGGTCTCAGCAAGGCGGCTCGACAGCTGACAAATTGGTTGGCGACGAGCGGGGGGAATGGTTTGGGTCCATGTGCTGGCGGTCCGGTTTGGCAGCCGCTGTGCCTGTACCTGTTCTCGTACCACCCAGCCCCGACAGCACTGCCGACCCAATCCCTGGTAACTCCATCCCACCGCCTCGCCCCCCTCCACCTGCCGTCAGCAAACTTGCTGTCACCCCTAATCTCGCACACCTGACATCATCCCCCAATTCACACCAGCCTCATTAAATTATCCCCCTTTTTGATGAAGACTATGCCATCTCTACCCTTCCCGCCGCGCAAAGCTGCTTTGAAGGGGGCAGACCCCTGCAAAAACTCCACAGCCAGGCTGCTCCTGGCCCACGCCCCCGCCCCCTTGCCGCGTCCGACCCAGCTCCTGCTCCCAGCCCACCGCCACGCCACACCCGCCCCAACCGACGCCCCAGCCGACGATCCAACCGCCACATGACTCACGTTCCAGCTCCACCACATCCAGCTGGCGGGGCCGTTCTGCCAGCTCAGCCCGTTTAGGTACCTGCTCAGCAGCTTCAGCCACTTGGCGTCCCTGGCGCTGTAGCTAGTGGTGTCGGCGTTGGCGACGCCGTTGTCGCCGCCGTCTGCGGCGCCAAACTCGCCAATGAGGAGGCCGACGTCGCGCAGCGCCTCGCCCTGCGCAGATTGAGATGCGAGCAGACGCGCAGCAAGGGGAGACTCAAAGCCTCGCAACCTCGCGCCGGCTACCCTGACAGTGTGCAGAAGCAGCTGCGCAGCGCCGGGCCCCGCGTAGAGTGCGTCGCCCCAGGCCGTCGCACTCGCTGCGACCGAGCCTGCCCCCCCCCCTCCTGCATGCTGTCCATGCGCCCACCCACACCTTGCTTGTCTTGTCGAGCCCCAGCGACTTCCAGCCCCATGAGATGTCCCACTTCCAGGTGATCTCGTCGTCTTGGTCCTCGGTCTCTGCTGGGACGCCCGTGATGCTGGCGGGGTAGAGGTGCGGCGACACCACCACCTGGAGAGAGGAGGGGGCGTACGTATGGCGACACATGGGGCTTGTTTAAGGGCCTGCATAGAAATGCCGCTTTCGTAGATTTTAGGGTTTTGATCAAGGGTGATGGGGCGGCGCCTAGGACAGGCGCATGACCAAATGGCCGGCCCCGGCAGGCGTGCCAGCCGAGCCCCCTGTTTTGAGGGCGGCAGGCCCAACGGACGCCCGAGGGCATGTTTCAGCAGGGGCCGTACAGAGCGGGGATGCGGCAGGTGTGTTGTGGCGCCCCGCGCTTGCCTGGTTGGGCATGGCGGCCTTGTTGATGGCAAAGGGCCCGATCTTTTTGAACTCCTCGTAGGCAAACATGCCGCTGGGGTTGCTGAGGTTGTATCGCGACACAGTGGGGCCGTTCGTGATGAAGCCGTCGCCCCACTTGAGGCCTGAGGTGTGGTTGTGAGGCGTTTTGTATTGCGTGGGGGTGGGTCGCGGGCGGACTGGATGGAGCATGACAACGCGTACAGGAGCACGCGTTGAGAAGGAAGAGTGGACGACCCGCGATGTCGCCCCAGGCAGGGCCAAAGAACGGATGAGTGCAGTCTGGGCGAGGCTGCTGCAACCGGGTGATGTCGTCTTGTCCGCATCGCCCCTGGTCGACGACGCTGACGCCACCCACGCGCAGGCCCCCACACCCTGTACACACAAACTTTTGCTCGCCCATCCGCCCGCTCCCCTGCGCACCCGGGAAGTAGCCGCTGGCGCACGAGGCAAACTTTCCGCGCTGCTGGTCTTGCCCCATGCCCTCAATTAGGACCGGCACGTCCCCGTCGACCGCGTGGATGGCCGAGGCGGCCGACGCGTACAGCCACGCGCCGGGGGCGCAGGCGGGGCCGGAGGCGCCGGCCGGCGCGCAGGTCTTGTCCCACTGCGGTTTGAGGCGGGGTGGGTTGCGGGGAGGTTATGTTTTCAATTTGCTGATCGCTTCAATGAGTTGGCAGGGCGAGTTTCGGTGCTGGGGATGCAGGGGGCTGACTCGGCGTTGTCTCCAACGCATCTGCAGGATATGAATGGGGATGTGTCTGAGACGGCTGCTCCGAACACCAAACGTAGCCCGTGGCATTTAGCCCGCTCAACGTCGCCGAGCATCGCCACCTGGCTGCCGGCGGGCGCGCCCGCCGCCCGGGCAAATTCGCGCACCTGGCAGCCCCAGCGGCTTGGGTCGGTTGCCAGGTCAGCGAGCACGCGCCCCTTCATGTGCTTGTACTGGGGCAAGTCAGCAAGCATGCGCCACAGGTTCTGCCAGTTCCTGGTGAAGAGCTGCGGCGACGCCACGTTCGGCTCGGGGTCGCGCGCCGAGCTGAAGGTGAGGACGGCGTACATGCCCTGGGACACGACGTACTGCACCTGCCACAGCAGCCTGGCGGCGGATGGCGGGCGGATGGTCGGAAGGCGGCTCCCAAAGTGCTGGACGGCACTTGTGCAGGCGAAGGCTTGGGGCCGTGTGCTGCGCAACAGCATCACCCCTGCCTTGCGCCAGCGTACTGCTACCCATTTGCCCTGCTCTGTTTTGACGTTTGCCCCGAGTTGTATTCGAAGCGCAGCCTCTGCGCAAACGCCGCTCACCTCTGTATGGCAGGCACGTTTGGGCCCTGAGGCAGGTACCAGTTGCACATCGTCAGGTTGAGCTGCCCCTGGCCGCCCCTGTAGCTGGGGGTGAACGGCGCCGACCAGGGCAGGTTGCACTGGGGGCTGCCCTTGACCTTCGGCGGCGGGTGCTGCGGGCCGGTGTACTGCGCGCAGGGTGGGCGTCGCAAGGGCGGCGGAGGAGCGGAGAGGCGGCGGGATTCAATGGTGTTTTGGGAGCGCAGCCATCGGGAAGCGAGCAGCTGCTGCGCTGGCCTCTCGCATTAACAGCCCATCACAGCAATTAGCGGAGGCCATATCCCAACAAATCGGCACCACCTCATCTAATCACCCAAGATAGTACCCGACCCCTCAACCCTCTCACCCTCGGAAAGTCGAACTTGCCGGTGAGCCCCTGATCGGCCACCAGCTTTGCCAGGGCGGGGTCTATCGTCTTGCCCCAGGCGATGGTGGAGTCCGGGTCGATCATGCACGGGAAGAACTCGGTCTTGCCGGTGCTCGGGGGCGGGATGTCCTTGTTGAGGTCCGCAAAGCTGGAATTTGGGTGGTAGTTGAGGTTTGGCAAAAGGGATCGTATCATGGGAGGATATCAGGGGTGTTGCACAGCATCAGCGGTAGCGCGGAAGGACGCGGGGCCGCTGGTGGGAGGTCGGCAGGAGTCCACAAGGCGTGTGTGGTATGGGGGCATGAGCACGCGGGCAGGCTTTCGTGCAACGCTGCCATGTACGCAACTCCGCGCTGCAGCGACCCCCGCGGCCGCTGATGCCGTTCCCTTGGACATCAAGGACCCCGGCCGCGAGACGCCATGCCGCCGTGTTTTGATGCGCCCACGCACCACACATTGTCAACACCCGCCCCCAGGAATGATCCCTGGCCTGGGCCTGGGCGGGGCAGGGGCAGTCTCTCACCTGAAGGGTATTCTGACAGAATTGAACCCGAGCAGCTTCATCCTGTAGATCACAGTCGCAAAGTCGTTAGTCATCGTCCGCTTGCCCCAGAACCGGATGCCCCCGAGCCGCTGGATCCCCGCGGCTCCAATCGCAGGGTAGGGGTAGTGGGGCGGGATCTCGCCGTCCTGCTGGCAGGGGGGCGTGCTCGCCGTGAAGTTGTCGTCGCAGAACGCCTGGGGG